TTGTACTTCTTTCTTACTATTAGGTTTAATATTTTGTATATTTTTCCTAATAAAATAATAATAATTCATACGCACATACATACATGCATATAAGTCCAAGTATTACGGTGTACCTAAATAAAATATCATTCGGACAACAAATATTTTAATAAATAAAAAACGCGGCTTTTAATAGTAATTAATTCAAATATATTTTCAAACTATAATATAAATAAATAATATTATTTTGCAAATATGGTTAATAACCACACAAATCAAAATACATCTGCAGGAGCTACACGCTCAAAACAGGTTGTTAAATTCATTTCACAAAGTGACAGACAGTAACAAGATACTGCACTAGATTTGCCTCTTCTCCGATTCACGAAAATTCGGAATCGTTACTAGAGATCAAAATTATAAATCTCAATAATTTTTGGATACGACTCCAAGCGGCTCATGACGCCATAGTAGAATCTAACGTTTCAGGTCTACCTGAAAATATGAAATCATCGGCATACGATATTTACGAAAACTGCTTGGACCAATATGAAGAAACGAATGCTATGATCTCCGATCAATTAAAGCTAGTTAAAGCAATTGCACCTACTCCACACCCGCGAGTACAGCTGGCACAAATGCAACAATATCAAGAGGCAAGTTCAGGCATCCACCTCGAGGTGCCCGCATGTGACACAGAAAAATTTTATGGAGGTTATGAAGAGTGGCCGCCCTTCCGGGACATGTTTACAGCCGTTTACATCAAACATCCAAAATTATCACAAGCGCAAAAATTGTATCACCTCCGATACAAAACAAAAGGTCAATTTGGCTTGGGAAGCTTTGAAAGCAAGATATGAAAACGAAAGAATGCTGGTCGATAAACAAGTAACGACACTAATGAACTTGCAAAAAATTAAGAAAGAAACAAGTGTAGAATTTATTAAACTAGAATCCACTGTTTCAAATTGTTTGTCGGTTCTTTCGACACTAAATATCCCCACATACAGCTGGGACCCTATTCTGGTAAATATATGCACAGCCGCATTATCGCAAAATCGTTACTTTTGTGGGAGCAATCGCTCTCTTCACGAAAAAAATGCTCAACGTGGCAACATATGAAAGATTTTCTCATCACCAAATATGAAATTGCGGAAAAGAGAAGCTTAAATAGACCCCAAGTCGGTAACAAAAACAATTTAAACAGAAACTTTCACAAAACACAATCGTTCACATCTGAACAACGACAACATACGTCATGCGAACTATGCACAAGAGGGCATAAGATTAAAACTTGCGAGAAGTTTAAAAAATTGAAAGTCAATGAAAGGAAGAACTTTTTCAGGTCTAAAAGACTATGTACAAACTGCTGGTCCCACTCACACAATCTGAATAATTGCAAAAGCAAATTTAACTGCTTATATTGTCACAAAAGACACCATTCAATGCTTCATTACAGCAGATATCACATCTCACCCCAAAGAAGCGCTTATACACAAAGAATCACGGGTATAATTGCAAAAGCAAATCCCGAATCCCAAAATTCAAAAAATTGGCAAAAGACACATTGTTACACAAAGACACAAAAAGCTCAAACGCTGCACAGCGAAACACAAAATGGTCTAGCTACAGAACCACCAACTCAAGTTGAGTATAATAAAAAGAAATACCTTAATTCATAATTAAGTAAATTGCAAAAGTTAAGGAAACTGCCAATAACAAACGAAACTATAAAAGATCAGTATTGTGAGAACCTCTCTAAAGCCACAACTACTCGATCAAACAATGGCCGGTACACCGTACGACTACCACTAGAGCCACAATTTTCCAATACTCCACAAATTGGTATAAGAAACAAAGTCAGAGCTACCTCTGACAGTTCATATATTAAAAGCACGTACAACTTTTCGGCCCCGCAAGATGGCTTTCGCCAATAATGAAAAAAAAGACAATTCTGAACAGATCCTAGAGCGGTGGCGGGCTACCAAACGCCAAATTAGTGCATACATAAAAACATTAAACATAACACAGTTGTATCAAATGGTCGAAAAATCGACATTTTTCATAAATTTTCAAAAATTAATAAAATCTCAAAAGGAAATTAAGGGAACACCATACTCCCAATGCTATAAAGTGACGCATCTCCACTTACCAAAAGCAAAGGTAGCTCTTATCGCACCTACATAGGAGCTTCTCATAAGGGTAGTTGGTGGGAATCGGTTGTACAACTGGACCTTCCATCTACAAAAACTGAAAATTACCAAATTATAATTCCAATCGAAGCCATTCTCCATTCACGGCCACACTCTCGCAAGCTCCCTCATAGTCATTTCATAATCCTAACCCCAGGGCTAAGGATTACCCATTCTGGCCACATCTGAGCCAGGCGTGGAGTTATTATCCTTTATAAGCCGATAACACAGAAAAGCAAATATAATACTAAAGAGCTAGTTTAACAAACCGATGTTAAAGAAATTTTACATAAAACCACAAATAATAATTCTGTCAAGGAAACAAAATCAAATAATTACCAAATATATTTAAAACCAAAGCCGTTTTTAGCATTTACACGTATTCTGCGCCCTCGGGTACTCTACCAGAATTACTCCGAAATACATGCAATCGCATATATGGTACATACGTGTAATACTAGGCAAAATATTTGCCTAGGGGGCCCAGTATGTTTTCTACCCGGGATAAAATGGCGCACCCTAACAAAACTGTGTACACCACATGATCACCAATACACCGCATCTGGGAACAAATTACAAAATGTCATATTTCACTCAACGGAAATTTTGTTTTCGTTTCAAGAGTATTTCGCATGAACTACTCAGAAACAATGATTTCGCCAATGCGTTCTGGAAAGTGAATCGTGGAAATTTTCTAGTTAATCGTGAAGTACCAAATTACGAATAATTCTCTACTCTAGGAATAAATTTGAGTATCAAGTTAGACAATGTCCGCAATCATCTAGATATACTATATGTACACAGATGGGCAAAAGTCACCGTCATGTGGCCACTTGAATGTTTAAGAAACGACCATGCCCACAAAATACTAAAAACACAGAAATGGAAATATACATCTGTAACTGCAATTAATTTAAATTTTATTTGTATACAAAATGTCTATTTTACTTTGCCTTAGGTACAAAAACAAAGACTTACTAATATTTCTAATGGACAAAAGTCACCGTCATTGCACGTGTTTATGTTTTCACTAAAATATAAAGTAAATAAAAACAGTTTGGGCACTCTAACTTATTCTATAATAAATTCCATGTAATATGGTAACTTCGAAATTAACATGTCACAATTCAGTACCGTTATTTGTGTACAAATATTTTCAAACGCCGCGTGTTAATACAAAATGAGTCAAAAAAGGAAAGAAACGACTGTTGAGGAGCGTAAAATTATCTTAAATGCTTATAAACAACATAAAAGCATACGGGAAATCTGTGAATTARTTCAACGGCCTCGAACTACAATTACCGGTATAATAAATCGTTTTAAAAATGATCCAGATTGCGAGTATCAACATAGAAGCGGGCGACCACCTGCGCTANAGTAAGTCTTTGTTTTTGTACGTAAGGCAAAGTAAAATAGACATTTTGTATACAAATAAAATTTAAATTAATTGCAGTTACAGATGTATATTTCAATTTCTGTGTTTTTAGTATTCTGTGGGCATGGTCGTTTCTTAAACATTCAAGTGGCCACATGACGGTGACTTTTGTCCATCTGTGTATGTATTTTCAAAAAACTTTAAAAATTATTAAGAAAAACTCATAAAAGATGTTTGTAGTGCAAAATCGAAATAGGGATTAAAAATAAAAGAGAGCAAATCTTGATAGTTTCATGGATTAAAAATAAAGCAGAGCAAATCTTACTAAAGCCTTGATCGCTTCATGGTCTGTGGGCGCAAACATATCCAAAATCGAGTCATATCTAGGGCAACAAATCCATTGTAGAACATGGTATTTTACCAATATTGTGACTGTAAACTTCTAAATTTCCACTGTAAAACGTGGGCCGTAATGCTTTTTGGTTTTTATAATTATGCCTTTTTATTTTTCTTGTTTTGTAAATCTAGTTTAGATTAAATTTACTTTAAATTTAACAAGTAAGGAAGGCTAAGTTCGGGTGCAACCGAAAAGTTTATACTCTTGCAATTTGCAAGAATCAAAGTCAGGCAAATACCTTAAAATGAAAAATGTTAACCAGAGATCTTAGCAATTATATACATATGTACTACATATATCTTCCTACTTCATTAATTTTTGCAGGGTTCCAGGGGATGTTTAAGGATTTTGCCTTGAGTAAATTTGGTTTTTGTAGCATATGTAAGTGGTTGAGGAGCTATTTACATTAAATCATTTAGAGGGAAGGCCACTACCCCTTTTTCAAAATTTTTAACCCACAGGTGCCCCTTTTTACTCTGATTACAGTTCTTATCTTAGTTTGGTACTAGGTTATAGCACTTTATAGGTTTTCGCAAAATGGCGTTTTGTCGGCGTGGCAGTGGTTTAATTACGTCCATATGCAATAACAAGCCAATCTTACGATGCCAAGAAACATGTGTTCGAGGTTTCACTAAAATATCTCAATTTTGCAAATTTTATTGATTGCAGAGTCTGACGGACACACCGTCAGGATTTGAACTCGTCTCTCATCTTGATCATTTATATTTATATAACCCTACATCTAACGCGATTAGTTTTAGGTGATACGAACAACCGTTAGGTGAACAAAATTAATATACTCTTTAGCAACATGTTGCAAGAGTATACAAATTATGTCATGTATTAATTTGTTTGCTAAATTTTTTTGCTTCGCTGTGAGCATTGTGTAATTGCTAAAAATTACTCCTCCGTTCAAGTGTATGTATTTACATATAATTGTACGAGTATATCTGTCACGATTCGTTTTATCTACATAAAATTGTCTGTCAAAACTGGTCACCGTACTGGTGAATAAATAATTTTTAAATATATCTTTACGTATTTGAGGTTGACTTACAGGGTGATGAAGCGGAACTGATATGTTGAAGAGTTGAATAAAATATTGCTATTATCCAAATTAGTTTAGATTCCATTGCTGAAAGAAGAAAAATTAATCAATAAGTACGTTTTAAATTAATAATTTTAATTTGCAAAAATATAATAAATGGTAGTGTTATGCACCAAATTTGATCGAGTATCTGTCTGCTGTGATAACATTACCTGACGGTAAAATTGAATACTTCTGATATTTTCACTATACAGTTATCGCATTTTTTGTAATTTCTACAAAATCTTTGGATGCACGTAGGCGTACTTACTATCCGATTTCACCCATTTCATCACCGACTTGCACTCCTGCTCTCTGAGAGCACTCATCAGTAACTTGGTATAAGGGAACTGTGGGACGGCATTTCTAGCTTCTTACGTACAGCTGCAACGGGACCATATTTTTGAAAAAATGCAAAAGAGCAGCGGTACGATGAGGAGTGCCGTGTCGCAGCGAAGAGAAAACAGACTGACTACCTCGCAACGTTACAATCGACCGCAACACATGAGGGATGGGATAGATACTGAGTTGAAGAGGGAAGCGAGGCGCATTTACAGAAAAAAAGAGAGAGGCCGAAATGTGTGAGTATGAAGAACTTGACAAGCTGGCCCCTAGTTAATGTTCGAAAATTCTACGAACAAATGCGGTGATTAAAAGAAGGTTTCAAGACCGAAGCATACTTTTGTAGAACCAAAGGAGGCTGTTCAAACACGGCAGCGAAGAACTGATAAGGAACATGCGTCAGCAAACGATTGGAATTTAAGTGGGCTCTGGTACAATGCACAAAAAGGGAGGCCCCACAATCTGAGTCAACTACTGTGGGATAGGTATTTTGTGTGAAAGATTAAAGCCCACCGTCAACAAATTGATTGGACCTTGTCAGTGTGGCTTTAGACCTGGAAAATTAACGAATGACCAGATATTCACCATGCGTCAAATCTTGGAAAAGACCCGTGAAAAGAGGATCGACACAAACCACCTCTTCGTCGATTTTAAAGATGCTTTTGACAAACCGAAGAAGCATCCTTTATGGCGCTATGTCTGAATTTGGTATTCAAGGTTCGCGAAAGACTTATGGTGCTTTGCACTTTGGCAACGGCAAATATCGCATTCGATGGAACGATGAGCTGTACGTGTTATACGACGTCATTGATATTGTTCAGAGAATTAAGAGTACCTGACGGGGGAAGCAGAGGAAGAGGAAGACCTCCACTCCGTTGGAGATATCAAGTGTAGAAGGACCTGACTGCACTTGGTATCTCGAAAAAACGATTAGGGTGCTGTTGTTAACTCGGTATAACCGCGTGGGCGGTGTTTACGCCATTACAGAAGAAAAATACATATATACTTTCCGTTTCCCTTAATTAAACGTCAAACCAGTCAGTTCAGTCAAATGACAAAATCTGTACACTCCCAGTTTCAAATGATAGGATAGTTTTTAATCTCTTTATCTCTTATTTATTTATTTATTTATTTATAATCATTTATACAATAAAATATTTATTATATAAATACATGAAATCACAGCACTGGCTACTAGGCCTTCAGCCGCCTTATTAATAGCTTAGGTACTATTATTGTGTTAGTTAGTTGTTAGTGTGTTAGATGTATTTTAGTAAATTTCTATCTTTTTAAATTTATGTGTAATCATTACGTTTTAATGTGAGGGATTTTTTAATGCTTTTGCTAAGTCAATGTTGTCAGAGTAGTGTGTTGTTGAGTGGATTACTGGGCAGTCTGCTAGTATGTGTTGAATTGATACGCAGTTGTCACAAAAAGGGCAATTGGAACGGGTTTTTCCCATAAGTATATGCGAGTGAGTTAGGATGGTGTGGCCGATCCTGAGGCGAGTGTATGCTTTGATGGCGCTTATTTTCGTGGTGGACCCGTACAAGGTTGGTATTCTATCTGGGTTGTTGATGGCGWAACTATGGGTGTGTAGTTTCCAAGCATTTAAGTTATCTTCGATCCTTTTGTGTTTGATGAAGTTGCGTATGTCTTGTTTCGAAAGATAGTTGTAAGAAAGAGCCGGTATGTTTTTGACATTTTTGGCAGCGGCGTCACCGAGGTGATTGCCAGTTATTCCCACGTGGCCTCTGCTCGTACCAAAAGTTCTGAATCTTTGTCCAAAAAGACGTCGAGTAGAGGTTGATGCAGAGAAGATGTTATACAACGTAGCTGAGAACGGTGAGGAGACGTGGATTTATGAATATAACATGGATATTGTTCAATCTTCGCGAATCACATAAGGCACTGCAGGCGATTCCAATCGCGACTTATAACAATTGTCCTTAGCGTTGAGCGCTTGTCTTAAGGCAGTAGTTCGAAGTTCTTTCCCTGATCAGAATGTAATTCCATTGGAACATCATACCTCATTAGCCAATTGTTGATGAATGCGAAGTAGGGAAGTTCATTAAATTGATTAGGGATTGGGTATACATACTATGACATTTGTCTAAATAGTCCTTTACTACCAAAAAGTATTTTTTTTAATTTAATGGTAGAAAATTGACCAGCTATGTACATCCAAAGCAATTCAATTAAATAGCGTACCCGAATTATGTTAATTATAAAAGATTTGCTTTAATTTTTCTAAGGTTTTAATGATAACAATGTGTTCTGAATAGTTTTGCAGTTCGTTGAGAAGTTCTTATCTTCGGAACAATCATAAGAGCTCAACAACTTCTGTCCTAATTTTATCGTGCTCTTCCGACAGTGAGGATAATATTCGCACCAAGTATTGCTTCAGCTCTAATTTTAGTTATTGAATCACTAAAATAATTATCTCATTGGGACTTTATTTGACATTCCTACATCTGATATCAATTGTAACAGATTTCCTGATAAACCGTCTACTCTGACTATGAATAAAGTTGGTCTAGATCGTGATCCTATTAACTTCATTTTCGCGCTGTTACTTAGGAATATCAGGATAATATTATGTACGAAATATGATGATAAATTTCTAAGCGTCGCCGAGATTCACATATTTCTGTTTGAGTTTGACGTTCTCGATCAATGAAAATATTAAGTTTCATCAAGCTTGTAGGACCTCAAACATTATGTAATAACATACGCATACAAAAGCAATAGAAACTCTTGACATGTGCTGCGTAGACACAACTAAGAGCGTCCGATGCCTGGACTTTTGTTTAACCCTAAGATTATTTTGAACAGGTATACCTCAAACGCGATGATGTCAATATAATTTGAGCTATTCCATCCTCAAAGTGTAATAATGTCCTTACGAAACGTTCACTCAAAAGTTGAAAAATGTAGTCAATGTGGTTTTGGTCATAAAATCTTTTCTTGAAAGATATTCTCCATAAAATAAAGTTGCTGGCCGTTTTATGTATAACAGTTATCTTTCTGCTCAATGGGTCAATATTTCATTTGTGGACTGTATAGTTTACTTTTATTATGCATATTGAACATTACCGGATCGTTTCCTTTATTGATATACAGTTGTGTAAAAAATAATGAGGACAGTGGTATGCGGTTAATGAAATTAAAGTACATCCAGAAATGCGGTGGAATCAACGGCAATTAATTAATCAAATTAATTGAGAACAAACTAAAAATAAGTTTTATTTTCAATTTTACCCATATGTTGCAAACATTTGTGTTTTGCTTGCATTTCTTTTCAAATTCGTGTTATTAACATGTGAAAAAAATAAGAACACTCCATAGTTTACTATAAAAAATACCATATTAAATAAAAATATTAATTGGTTTTCATTCAATTGTGATAATATCAGTTTCTAAGTAGTTTAATATTTTGCTGAAAATCATGGTTGTTTAAAACTTATCGACACCGTTTCGCCATAGAGTTAACCAGGTTTAGGCATACGAAACCCGGAATTGCATTCGATGAATTTTGAATATGTTGAAAAGCTCTTCATTATTACTTGGGCACTTTTCTCTTAACGACGCTTTCACTGTATTCCACAAATTTTCAACGGATTTTAGATCCGGGGACTGCGGTGGCCATTCTAGTATTGACTCTAAACCAATCTTTTGTATACTTAGCCGTGTTTTTAGGGTCGTTGTCTTGCATATACATATGTCTGCCTAAGTGGCTAATTGTCTTCAGTGTTCTATAGCATAAACGTTTGTAGTATTGCCACACAATCGGTTGCCTTCACAGTTCCTTTGCAGTGAGTCTAGACCCAAACCATAATGTTTCCACCAACATGCTTAACGGTCTTTATCGTATACTTAGGGTTATAGACTGCATTATTCGGTGTTTTTACATAATGAATACTCAATCAGAATTAAATAAGTTAACTTTTGTTTCGTCAAATCGGAAAATGTTACGTCATTCTTATTTAGGCTAAAGAACATGTCGTTCAACCTTTGTTGTGCGGTCAATATAGGCTCTTTTCTCTTGCTTCGGCTCTTCCAGATTTTCCTTTAAGTACTTTGCGGTTAGTTGATGGGTCAACAACAATATTCAAGTCATATTTTATAAGTTTTGACGAAATAAATGGATTTTTCTTAACACAACACTTTATATTTTATTAAAAAACAATGCTATTTTGGACTTCTTGCCGCGCGTTTCAATCTGGGGCCCCATTGTACTACTTGTCCAACCTTTACTTTTGGAAGTATTCAGAAAATTCGCTACTTTTCTGTACATATTTCATTTTTTCTCGAGTTTTCGGATCGCAGTATGTAGCCTTTCACGTATCGATGTGAAAAGAAAAAAAACACGTCTTAGTAAAACAATTTTCGTTATTGTTGTTTAATAGCACACTGTCTTTGTTAAATTGGACAACTGCTCGATGGCTTTGTTTTAGGAACAAAATGGGTATTTATGAAATGTGTGCATATACTTTGCATTTGTCGAACAGGATCTGTTTTTTATAAATAAGTAGTGATGAAAAAATGCCGTTAACTGGCGGAAATTTTCATGACTTACTTTAATTTTATTCTTGTTTTGTTTTTATGCATTCCTGTCCTTATTATTTTTCACAAAACTGTAAATGTGTGTGTACATCAATGTAGACGTTAAATAATTTACACAAAATCGACGAATAGGGCAAATTCGATTTGGTTTGATTAATTTAAAAACTTTCCAACAAACGTCAGAAGTATTTTCAATTTTTCATTGTTTCATTTAGAATAGTATCTTAATGTTTTTAAACCGAATCATTTTGGGATATGGTTTGGAGTATTTGTAAAATGGCGTAATTTCATTTAAATAAAAAGTACTAATTTACTCAAAATGATTATTAAAATCCAAAAGTAAACATTAATTTCTGAATAAAGATAAACGTGCGACTTTCTTTTTGGAAATTTTGAGAAATTTTTGTTCATGTTTATCTATTTATTCAATCACTTACAACTTCACAGTAGTGAGTTGCAACGAACTGTCAATTTACTCCCGAATATATTTGGATGTTTTCGCAGAATATTATAAATATATATCCATTTACTCCTTCAATAAATAATTGCATCCAATTTTTATAGTATTTACCATGAAGCAGCTAAATTTCGAGTATGCATTTAAGCGCAAATATGAAATCGCGATACATTCTTTCTTTGAGTTGCCTTGAACTTGACCTGTCTTAACTTCGTTGTAATTTATGAACATTTCATATATGTATGTTGTCAGACTTTATTTGGTTAGTTATATAATATTGACCAAGAACTTTTTACTAATATTAATCCTTAGTTAGAGATTTTCATAATCAATGCACTTCCGTTTTAAACGCATACACATTAATAATATTAGAGAATATCCAGAGCACGTCCTTTAACTGCGGTGCATATGAGCTACCATATATATGGGTCAGTAGTTACGAACAAGTGCTTTGCTCTACATGCACACAAATATTATCTAAAGGAGATTGTTCTTCTCACTATTTACTACACTCGGTCACCAAATCACAAGCTCACTCGGCAGTGCTGAAAAGATGTAACCTTTACACTTATTGGTGATATGCACATTTTGATTTTTAAACCCGATACACGTACAAAGAGTATGCAGCCATCCCGCTCAGTGGACGCTTTGCGGGCGATATGCCGTTGACGTTGCTGTGGCTGTAGCATCCGTAAAACTGCGCCACACGAAACGATTTTCATTTGTTTTAAGTGAGGAAAACTCTCAGAGCTTTATCCATATATATATCACAATGTATTAAATGCGAGAGCATGTACGTACGCGTGCTTCAAAATCTCTTTTATAGCAGAAAAGCAAAAATTTTGTGACAAGTCTTAGAGTAAAGAGAGAAAAGTCTTTAACAGTTCAATTGTCCTAACCTGGTAGACCTGATAAGCACTGTTATCTTTACTGCACCCCGTAAGTAAAAGCGGCAGCGGTAAATTGTCATATGGCCTTATGCCCATAGATTTTGTATGGCACATCTTTGAAAAAATAAACGCGACGGCAACGCTGGGGTTGAAAAATCCGATTTTGAGAGCGCGTTTAGAAGAAAATTAAAAGTTTCTTGACGTGCGATATGTAAAGCTTGTACAAATGAATGAAAGTATTATTAATTAATTAATTCGTTTGCATTTTATTTGCTTTGTACTAATTTTAAAATTTAAGTGAGAATTTTATGCAGAGTTGCTGCTTCTATTTATTCAATCACTTACAACTTCACAGTAGTGAGTTGCAACGAACTGTCAATTCACTTCCGAATGATGTAGGGATGCCGCGTCGGCTTAACCCGCCACTCATCGTTTTTAATAAGGTATGCCAGTTACTCTTAAATGGCGGATACATACATATATGTACATATAAAATATGTATGTACTTACATTGCTTCAATTTCAAAAGAATGAGTATGGGCAAGACAATTAGCAAAATAAATCATATAGGTTATAGGTATATTTTACATAAAATACAGTTGTTGGCACCTAATTACAATCGGCACATATTTTGAAGTACATTATGTTATTTTCTAATAAATCACGTATTTTTACAGAGTTTGGCATGTATCTTATTGATATATACATATATATTAAACACTTAAACTTTAATATAAACAATTTCATTTAAAAAAATCAAATTCTTGATGGATTTGTCGGCGAACATACTTTCAACAATCACGACCTATGCGATTAATTTTGTTTAATCGCTCCAAACGGCATACTTCCATTGAATTGGGGTCTAAAGCCAATAAGAGTTGGCAAATTGTTCTCTTGAATATTTGGACATTATATTCGACTTCAATTTCTCGTAGAATGTCAGTGGAACTCTTTTTTGGGTCTCTACGGGAGATAGTAATGATTCTGCTTCCGGGTATTTTTGGCACGCAATATTGTTAATAGTTTAAAATTCTGTATATGGCCAAGGGCATTGAAAACAATTTTTATTGAGCATTTGATCAGTTAAGTTTCCCCTGACGAGGGTCAAAAATGCAGCTACGAAGATCAGATGTACAGTTGCTGCGTTTCCCCATTACAAAGATTGAATAAAACATTTTATTATATTTTAAACAACAACTTCGAAACAAATACTTAGTAGAAGTTAGTAATATTGTCATTTAAAACTAATACCGTGGGTAATTTAGTTTCTTTAAACAACTGTTTCTAATTATTTACCTTCTAAAACGTAACGCATGTACTATGTGGTAAAAAATTTACAGTATTTTAACTGTACAACTACAAAACTGAGCGAATTTAGTAGAAAATAGAGTAATACAAACAAGGCAAAACTTTTGGGGGAAACAGTTTATTGTTATACTTATCAACCACCTCCAAAAAGGGTGGGGTTTTAATTAGTCGTCAACATCTGTATGTATATCTAGAAAGGGTCAAATGGGCAAACTTTTTTTACTAAGCATTACTGGGGGAAAGGTTCTGCCGCTCATACACAAAACTAAAGCAAACCCTTTTGTATGTTTATTCAACGAACTAATTACGTGGCATCCATAATGTGGTTTCAGTATGCAGTAATTTTACATTAATTTTATTTTAATATTCTCGACTTTCATTTGTACATACGTGAATTTTGGACTGTCAGAGAATCTTGATACATCACACGGATAGCGGGATTTTAATGCCGGCTAACGTTAATGTATTAGAAAGGATATTCCGCTTATTCTTTTACTACATTAAGCAACAGTTGCCAATTTGAGGGAAATTAAGTTATTGCTTAGGTATATAATAGGAATATGTAATGAGTGTATATTATTATGTACGAGTAGATACAGTCACGAATCAACAGTTCGAAAATTGAAATGACGTTCCATCTGATTGTTGAAAATATGACTATAAATACCATGTAATCGGCAAATTTTATTCATATACGCCAGAAATTGCTAAGGTCAAAAAGATGGTTATACCAGAATTTTTATACTTATGCAACCTGTTGCTACATAGAGAAGTAGTTTTGTTCACCTAACTTCCCATATAATAAAACTAGTCGAAATATATAAATGATGAGGATGACGAGAAAAATTGAAAACCGGTTGACTTCCTGTCTCTCCGTCTGTCCATCCGTCCATTCTTCGGTTCGTCCGTGCAAGCTGAAACTTGAGTAAAAATTGAGATATCTTGATGAAACTTGGATTCCTTGTTATAAAAGATTTCGAGTTCATAGATGAGTGTAATCGGACCACTGCCACGTGCACAAATCGCCATTAACCGAAAGCATATTAAATGTCATAACTAAGCACCTAATTAAGATATAAAACTGTAATTTGGACAGGCGGTTGCAGTAGCATGGGTACCTGAGCATAAATGTTTTGAAAAAGTGAGCCACTATGTTTATTAATTTCGACTCAACTTAGTACGAACATTTTTCTAACCATCCTAAGTTACATTGCGAAAATAGGCAAAATCGCACTACAACCACGCCTACTTCCCGTATAATACAATTTAAAATTCCATTTGATTCTTTCACATTATAGTACACAAATTAAGAAGTAATCATTATAACGGAATACATTTTTGCAGTAATAGTAAGTGAAAAGTAATAGATCACCTTTTGACCATAAATTGTTTAAATCTAACAAAAACTGTATAAGACCCCAGGTACCGAAAATGTGGAGGTGACTAAGTCTATAGCTGACTTTTGACAGAAAATATCGATCAATGCGTAAGAAATATAATTGAAATTCAGTGATAATCCTTCTCTGGCAATGGTATGTCTATAAGCCACAAATTGGTCGAATCGGAAACTTCGAGGTAATTTTATGCTGGATATATCATCCAATGTTTGAGTTATCTCAATAAAATACCGAGAACGTGTTTTAATCGCGACAGTGTGTCTTTTTGCCTAAAATTGATAAATTTCAGCGAAAAGTTAACCTAGCCCCTTATACCCATTACCAGGATTTTCGAACATCCGGTTCATTTTGCTCTATATGATTGGTTTTACAACTTAAAATATTTCCCTTGGTTAGATTTTTTCAAGTTGCCAGAGCGTAAAATGTTCCGTTGCACCCGACCTTAGCACTTCCTTACTTCCTTAATATTATAAATGTATTTTATACCCGCTTGATACTTTTTTCTATGTTAGCAATAGCCATTTAAAGAAAATGTTATGCTTTGCAAAAAAAGCAACGACTTTTCGAAGACCTCGGTAAATTTTTAGTTAGATACCTTCGTAAAAAATATGAAATAAAGTAGTGAAGCGTAAGCAATAAGACGCTCAATTTCGAATTTTTGGATGATACGTTATTGTGCATTTCAGGTAACGATATATATTTTTTTAAAGATATTCAATGAATTCAAACTCTAAAATTAACAAAATAATGGAGACAACTGCTCTTGACCTGTTTCTACCTATTGTGATAATGGATCATAGTATTCGATAATATACCCCTTTCAGACCTGAGAAATTCAAGTTTACAGATTTTAACGCCGCTACGCACAGTTGCTAATATGACCATCGTGAATGCAATAAAAATAAGAAAATAAGTTATACGAAGAAGGAATCCTGGAAAAAGGACTCGCAGAATTGTGTATTACCGGTCTTAAGGCCATATTATTGAAAGAAACAGCAGTACGATTTAAAAATCTTATTTCAAGAAAAAAAAAAAAATGATTTTATATTGTTGGAATGTATTTAAAAATAATATTCATGTTATCATTTCTTTGTGTTACTCCTGAAAACAGTTTTTATTTTTGGTTAGGCAGAGAAATACATCGCATTTGGAGCATTTTATTCTAGTTCTGCTTGTACATTCTTTCACGCGGCACATCCGTGGTGTTGTCATATCCATTGCCTCTGGCCAGTGATCAGTACGTACATCAACGGGAGGATCCAGGGGTCTGTTTCTTTTTGCAGGTGGCTCTGCTGTTGACGTGCAATACGGAACAGGTGCATTAACTTGCCTTTCAGTGAATTTGGCCAATACTTAGCCGAGCTCAGATTTAAACTTAAATAGGTCTTTAATATTCTTTTTTTGCATGCCCGCCTTTAGGGCATCGGCTCTGTACTCTCTCCATGCATTGCATTCTGCCATGTCAATCAAATGAAAAGTTGTTTTTACAGTCCATTTTTTCGTTTTTATAAAATGTCTGTAGTATTCCATGGACTGATCAACTGCGTCGACTCCGCCCATTTTAGCGTTGTAACGCTTCACGATTGGAGGGCATGGTAAATTAATGTGCTTGCGTTCCTTTTTGCACCACCTTTGTACCACTCTAACTGGGTATTTTCCACATTCTGTGGATACTAGCGAAACGCACTTGCTATCGCGGCATTTAACTGCAACTACATTACTTTTCACAAACTGGCTTATGTCTCCTCTACTCATATTTCAGGTCTAACGGGAAATCCATCCTCTGCACAGGCAATCGGTTCAAAGCTATGGTCCCAGTAGCCTTGTAGCCGAGTTCGAGGAGCTTTTCTAAAAGCGGAATCGTGGTAAAGTACCTATAAAAATAGAGAAAACTCCCTTTCGGCAAAAGTTTTGCCAATCTGATGACAATAGACGGTCCAACCCCCAAGCCAGTGTCAGAAAAAGTTCCTGCTCCTTGGAATATTTCTAAATCGACGACGAGCCCTCTGGAAGTCGCAACATCAAGGTTCCTAAGACCTACAGGTCACGGTTTATTTTTAACGTCTTGCCGCATGGACGCCTATCC